TATTCAACAGATTTTTAAGAAAAAGATAAAATTTACACCGCAGTTATTTTTATTGGGTATTATGGACAATTTGGACCAAAAAGAAATGAAACTGATGTTGTATTGTATAACAGCAGCAAGGACCTTAGTTGCTCAAAATTGGAAAAAAAAGATGTTACCAACTATGGATGATTGGAGACAGAAAGTATCGTATTTTGCAATGATGGCAAAAATATCCGCGTACCTGAAGGATCATTCTCAGGAGAAATTTATCTCAATGTGGAGAAGATGGATAGATTATATTCAGAGAAAGTATGAATTGAAAAATTATTATGTAGTTTTTGATTAAGAATTCTGAACAAAAATATGCATATCAAATATTGATACATTTAAAAAAAAATTTGTATGTATTTTAATGTTATTTTAGAGTCACAGCAAGTTTATACTAGTGTGTAGTAATAATGAGTAGTTTTGAATAGAATTGGATTATTGTGTGTTTATTTCCTAGATTAGCTTTGGGAAGTCCTGGGGGGGAGGGGGGAAAGGGGTAGGTTTGTGTTATAGATTTATATGTATGATTTTTTAAGGAGGTGTCCGGTGGTGCCCCAACTGCACAAGACGGGTGGTTGAGTGAGGAAGGGAGGTAGGAAAGAGGGAGGAAGGAGGAGTGGTGGTAGGTTGGGAGGAGGAAGGTGTGGTAAGTGGAAGAGGGCGGTGCGGGAGGGGGACACCGGACACATCCGTGAATGTATTGATTAGTGTTATTTCTTTTGGTTGATATTGTGATAAAAGATCTATGTTTTTGTTTTTTAAATGAAAAATTAATAAAGATTTATTAAAAAAAAAACCTGGTATGTCTCCTTCCTATTCTAGTATGAATTATGGAGTTGGATCTAGAATGTGAACATAATCAGGACACTTCTTGTGTTGTGAGTGAAATCTCTGTGTGTCGAAGGTGACAGCATTTGAGTTTATATAAATTCATAGTTCTGTCTTTGTTTTTTTAGCCTGTAGTGACCAGTCAGATGGGAACAATAAACAATCTGATTCATGTCAAAAAATCGGATTTTGAAGTGTTCGATGCTTTAAAAGTTGACTCCCTTGAAAGCTCAGAGACTTCCTATCGAGGTGAGTTTTCTTCCACTTCTAGCATGAACAGTAAAAATGATGAGCTAGGTTCTTTACTCACACTGTTTAATTTTCAATAGAACTTTCTGGCTCCCCTCCTGGAATTTATGGCCAAGATATGTATGTATATCGGCCTGAAGAACGATTCAAATATCCACCAATTCTTCCTCCCCATCTTCTTCAAGTCATCCTTAACAAGGATACTAATATTTCAGTGAGTAACAGTTCCTAAATGCATATCTGTAGCATCGGCTCAACTAATTCAATATGGCAGGGTTGGGGTGCTCCGGGTTACTTCAGTTAAACATTGCCATCTGTCAAGACCCCGGAAACGCACCTTCTCTATCGCAGTGCCTGCCCTCTGGAATCTTCCCCTTGTGACCTGGATGGCCTCCACCCTACTGGTCTTTCAAAGGGCCAGAAGATGTGGCTCTTCTCCCAGGCCTAGGGCAAGGGTGAGTTAAGCCACCTTGGATTCTTTTATTTTTTCCATTCAAGTCTGGCTCTATCTTGCTCTTTTATTTCCTATTTTTGTTTTTAATTGCAATTTCTTTTTTAAAAAAAAAAATTGTGAGTAGGCCGGTGTCACTGGGAATCAGGAGGAATACAAATTTAATAATAACAAAATTATAATAATCATCTTTCCCCAAGTTTCATGATCACAAAATTCTCAAACCAGAATCTTGAAACAAGATAACCTATGCCTGCCTTTGGTGATATATGTGTAAGATAATTTTTCATAAATGTCCAGACTGAAGTGATGTTTTGACAGATAATTAGTGAAAAGGAAATAGTTGCATGATGAGAGTCCTGTGTTTCTTTCAGTGTGATCCAGCCCTCTTGCCAGAGCCAAACCATGTGATGCTAAACCACCTTTATGCACTCTCCATTAAGGTAATCTAGTGTTGTCTGTTCTTACTGTACTCTACCACATCTTGCTGCACTTGTACACTTTATTCTCTCAACATAAGAATAAAAGAAATGGACTTCTTGTCCAATTCAAGATTTCAGATTTCCAAGCAGGACGGAAATGATTATAGAGAACCCAAAATGTGAAATTCCAGTAATGCCTGAGGCTTTTAGCTTCTCTACCCCCCCTCCCCCCCCCGGTGGTTTGTTTTGCCTTGGTGCCATGGATATAGCATGATTGTTTCCTCTCAGGTTTCCCAGAAGGAGCCATCTTGTATATATTTTTATTCTCCGCTCATTTTATTTTAAAAATTTGGGAGGGAGGTAGAAAATGAAATCACACATATGAAATATTTCCTAGATAATAAAATTGTGTGCATGAGTCTGTAATAATTGCTGTTCTTTTTTAGCTACTCTCTTGTGTTTTCTCCCATAGGATGGTGTCATGGTACTTAGTGCCACCCATCGCTACAAGAAGAAGTATGTTACCACTCTTCTTTACAAGCCTATTGGCGTCTGATTCCTCCATAGAGACTCAAGGACTCTTGCTTTTTCTGGATATGCCAGAATACCAGTGGATTACCAGGATGGGTAGTCAGCTTCCAGATTATTTTATCAGACACAAGGTTTGGATGACCCAGCCCCTATTCTGATTTTTCAGCACAATGACGTTCATCATCTCCATTCAGGACAAACAACTTGGTAAAGCTTACTGAAATCAAGTTTTGGGTGCATTATTATTATCTCATATATTGCAAACTGTGAGATTGGTTTCTTCCTGAAACAAGGAGACCTGCCTTGCAATCTTCCCTTCCATGTTCAAAAAGAAAGTCCAGTGCCACTCTCTTTTCAAATTATATGACCATTGTATACAAGTCATGATGGTTGTGTGAAGCCTCCAAATACAGAGACTTCTTATATCTAAATGTTAACTTCTGTGGAACAGCTCTTATTCTCAAGTATTGAAAGTTTTGTCTAGTAGGAAATGAGATGGTAATTAGACAAATTTTGGCCTAGCAAAGTAGAATTGCTGTTATGTTTTCAGTATCTACTGCTGTAAAGCCTTTCCCATGTTTGCCATTTGCAGGTGCACTTAAGTGTGATAAGGCGCAGTCCTGGACTGCGTGGGTGACTGAACTGTACCATTCAGCAGCAGCTTCTCCACTGTTGGGTATGCCAGTGAAAAGGAACCACAGTGTCTCTTCTGAATAAATAGAAAAAAATTAAGATTTTTTATCTTTACTAAGTCACATCTCAAGGCTTATTATAGAGCAAGTAATATGGGATCAAGTCCTTAACATAAATACGAGGAGTAAATTGTAGTTCTCCAGACTTTCAGTCTTCCAAATAGAGTTATTGTCAACAAATATTTGAAGTTCTTCATTTAAAACAACTTACCATCACCATGGTTTTAAAAGCTGCTTCCCACAGGGTTTCCCTCTCCTAGAATATGTTATCTCGCAAGGCCTCCAAGCTAATTTCAGGCTTAAAGGCTTGTCGTGGAAAAACCCAATGAAAAAAACAGGAGACAGCAACACAAAGCAATACTTCTTACTTTAAGATTCAGAGGTTTATTTCAGCAGTAATGTGGAACACACACATAAACATCACTTACGTTAAAAACCCATTGCAATGAGGTCCAATGACATAGCAGTTCCAATAAGGACAGCTATAAGCCAATGGCAAATCAATCAGGTCCAGTCCCAACCTTTTTACCCTTTTTCCTCCTAAGACCTTAGACAGATGGTCAGCAATCTTACACTTTATGCTGACTTTCTGCTGAACATAACTTTCCACGTACTTTGAAAGTGTGGCATCAGAACCATTTATTGCCCTTGAACAAGGCAGTACGAGTTACCCAGCCAGTCTGTCAGAATCCAATTATATTTCATTTCTAGTTATCTACTATGGAAAAAACCCATTTCTGCTCTCTCTGGATTCTGTCATACTATGAAGGGGAAGGGGGATGAGCAGGGGTTTTTTATGGCTCTCACTTCCTTCATTAAACTTCAAAAGGACTGGATATTGATTCTCACCAAGAGGACTCACCATAACAATATAGCCATCACCTTTCATCTACTCGCTCTCTGAAGTCTCCCTTTTGCTGGCAGTAAGGGAAAAAGGGGGGGAATCGTTGCCCGGAAGAACTGTGGGGTGGGGGGCTGCTTGGGAACACTTAAAACATTGAAGGATGGGAGAGAATTCCTCAGATCCTGTCTAGAATGCCTGCAATCATTTTCTCTTAATAAAGATGCCTGTTGGAAGAGATATTCCAAGAGTTCTGTCTTCTTAAGATGTAAAGTGAGGTGGGTCCTTACATTAGACAGAATCTCTAAAATTAGTCCACCTGGAAGGGAGAACCTTGCCAGGGGACTTTGCAAAAATTACCATGTCAGACGGAGCAGGGAAGGGAGAAAACCCCCCGGAGAGGGAGCTGCTGCCCCAACTGAAAACCTGCCAGATCTAAGAGGTCAGATTCCTCAGGAGGTGGTGGAGACACGTAACCACAAACCTCAGTGGTCAATGGGCGTTGGAAAGAAAGGCGAGTGGGAAAAGAAATCAAGAAAGGTGACCCTGAGACGGGGGGCCAACCAACCAGAATGGAAGCAGGAGATGGGGAAATCCCTGTATGCAAGCAAAGAGGAAAGGAACTGGGCACTGCACTTGAGCTGGATCCTAGAGAAAGCTATCGACAATGAAGAGAACCCTCAGCTCCCTGGGAGAGGAAACTTCTGAGCCCTACGGCCGCACCAGCTCCTGGAGCCGCAACTGGAAAGACACTGAGGGGGAATTGGAACCTGCAGGCCCGGGGACGTCCACTGATCCAGTAGTCCCCACTCCCCGCCGACCCGCAGATGGCGATCTGGATGGAAGACAATACCACCGACAACGAAGGCACTGATCCATTCAAAGACTCCCGCCGCTGGACGTGAGATTCAAGGGGGAGCTGACACGCTTGGGGTTTTTCCTATCCTAACCCAAGTTCTCAGCTACATGGAGGAATACGGGCAGCACATCCCCAGCGACAAAGCCCGTATCCGGCCGCAGATTGGGTGGTGAACTTGCACAACTCCAATGCCCCAGAGTTCAACGACTTCAACCGTTTCATGTCCTCTCTGAGAAGGCGATTTGAGGACCCCCTGGCTGATCGCAAAGCCCGCGAAAGGATAAAAACGATGAGGCAAGGCAAACGCCTGGTAGCCGAATATACGCAAGAATTCCGGGCCATTGCCAGCAAACTGAACTGGCCGGAAGGCATCCTCCTTAGCCATTTCAAAGACAGACTAAACTACGACCTATATGATGCTTGCCTGCCCCAAGGGGACCCACACCAACTTGATGAATGGTACGTCCTGGCAGAGGAAGCAAAGATCGACCTACTCGAGGCACCGCCAAGGAAAACAATGGAGCCCCTCACCGCCTGAGTCGACACATGAACCAGTGAAACCATCGGCTACGCCCAAGAAGCAAATGGGGTGTTTCAAGTGTGGGAGAGAGGGGCATCAGGCTGTAGAATGCCGCTTGAAAGCTCCCCAGCACAACCCAGACAGATCACTGGCCAGCAAATCCAGGAAGTCTCCAGCTAAGCGAAAAGAACCTGCCATGAGAGTAATGGAGGCTGTGGAATCCCCTACCTCTGTCCATCGTGGGGAAAGAACTCCAGCCTACACCACAGGGCCGGTGGACGCCTCAGATGACAGCTCGGAGGGCGAACCCCTGGTAAGTGGACCATTGCACCCATCCTCAAGACCAGTGGTTCTCAACCTTCCTAATGCTGCAACCCTTTAATACAGTTCCTCATGTTGTGGTGACCCCCAACCATAAAATTATTTTCGTTGTTATTTCATAACTGTAATTTTGCTACTGTTATGAATCGTAATGTAAATATCTGATATGCAGGATCAGACTCTAGAGTAGACTCTAGAAGACAGAACCATCCAACAAAAGGAATTCCACAACTACAGATTGTCCTCAACTTACGACCACGACTGAGCCCAACATTTCTGTTGCTAAGCAAGGCAGCTGTTAAGTGAGTTGCACCCATTTTACGACCTTTCTTGCTTCAGTTGTTAAGTGAATCACTGCAGTTATTAAGTTAGGAACACAGTTGTTAAATGAATCTGGCTTCCCCATTGACTTTGCTTGTTAAAAGATTGCTAAAAATAATCACATGACCCTGGGACACCGCAACCGTCATAAATACAGGCCAGTTGCCAAGCATCCACATTTTGATCACATGACCAATTGAAGGAAAAGCAGCAAGAGAATGGAAGAAAGGAAAAGGATTATAAATAAAAAATCAGAACTCCTGTAGTATTTTGTGGATGAAGCGAGGGGTTACGTGACTATTTTTTCATGGAAGTTTCCCAAAACAGAAGGATACAACTTTACAGCTGTCCCAGATTCCAGCTATTTCATTCCCTCCTTCCAACATTTTCACCTTCCACTGAGTGTACTTGATTCTCATCTAAATGTTTTCTGGCAAGTCCCTCTCTCAATGCATTTCCTTTTTCCTAACAATTTCTGGCAGTTGATTATACACTTCCCCAATCGGAGCCTCGCCTTTGGAGGCGGGAGGCAGAATAAAAGGAATTTAAAGGCGGGAGGAGGGAAAATCCCGAGGTTGGCTTGCTCCTGATTCATGACAAAAAAGGCGAAGGGAAGCTCGCAATTCGGGCTGGCAGGCTGGCTTGCTGGCTTTCTCACCTGCGCCAACTCCCTTCTCTTCACTTGCAGCCGGGCAATTCCGAGTTTAAGCATGGCTCCTAGCAACCCCGAGGAAAATCCCACAGATGGGGGTGGGGAGACTCAAGGTGCTTGCAACCCCCCCCCACGCAAGGGCAGAGACCAACCCCACGAATGACCATCCTGGCTCATGCCTGCGTAAAGCAGCAACTCCGATCTAGACCGGGGGGGGGGTTTCAACAGAAAGGAGGCGAGCGAGTGAACAACACCTCGGATGCACCATCCTGTCTTCTGCTGCCCACAGCAGCCCCCCTCCCTCGCAAGCCACTATTCATTTTTAGCAGCTGCGGATCCGATTTTGCCAACCAAAAATAAAAATACCCGGGGATTGGGGGGGCGCGGGGGAGAGAGAGAGAGGTACCAAGTCTGCGCCTTGCTCTAAGAATGCGCTTTCCATGTTTTTTTTAAAAAAAGCTAAGATTTAAAAAAAAAACAATCCAAAAGCGCTATTTAAAAAGGCAATTGCACTGAATGCATCAAAGCAAGCTGGCGGAAAGAAAAGATGATCACTGGCGCTTTTATTCACAGACACCAGATTTTTTTTTTCCCCCAGATCATAAAATGTCCATTCCTCCCTCCAAAAGGGAGGGAATCAAAATACAAAAGGAACCCACCCCCACGGCAAAGCCCTCCGGCGTGCTGATTCCACACCTAACAATCCTTCCCTCCCTCCCTCCCTCCTCCTCCTGCCTCATCCCCCCTCAACTCCCCGCCAGCCCATCTCCCCTCTTCCACCGAGGCGCGAGCGACTGCACGCAAGCGCGATCTGGAGCAGCTCCGCTGGCTTCACAGATTCCCTGGGAAGATATGTCACGGACGCCAATGTCCGGGCCGCAGCTTCTGATTGGTGAAAAGGATGGGAGAAGGCAGGCTGAGTCGTTGGCTCTTGCTAGCTCTACCTGAGAGGCGGGGAGTTGCTCCTTTGATGCTTTAAGTCTTACCATTCTGTGTTGTTTTTATCCGCCTGGAGACAGATAGAGGAGTGGTGTCTTGGTTCCTAAGACCATCGGAAATATATGTTTTCTGAAGGTCTTAGGTGACCCCTGTGAAAGGGTCGTTCGACCCCCAAAGGGGTCACGACCCACAGGTTGAGAACTGCTGCTCAAGACTGACTATATTAGTTCTCCCCATGCCCGAAGCTGTCAAGGTGAAAGCCTTAATAGACTCTGGCTGCACCCGCTGCCTCATTAGCCCGACGCTAGTGGGAAACTTGGGCATTCCGTCGAGGAGACTGGAACAACCAATCTCATTTGGCCAGTTAGATGGGTCCATAGCAGGGGGGGGTGCCAGATACCCTAGCCACTTTACCAGTACACCTCTCCCTGGGCAAACATGACAAAGACATAACGTTTGTAGTGACCCCAGGCATGGAATGCCCGATGATCCTAGGGATGGAATGGTTAAAGAAATGGAACCCCTGGGTGAATTGGAGGACGGCAGAAATCAATTTCCCAAAAGGGGATCCTATG